CCGGCCCAAAAAGGATGGATTTTTAAGAGGGATTCATTAAAATGTAGCACTATTCCTTCCTTTATGTTCCTATAATGTGCTATTGCTTGAGAAGAATGAGTATCAACATTTGTAATCTAGTATTGATTCAGTCATTTTTTTTTCCTCATTGAGTTTATTGGCCCATTTGCCCATCAGTTGGAAACTGGATAAAGAAGATTCAGTCATTTTTAAATGGGTAAACATGTCTCCAACTATTCTCTTTTCCCTGTACTACAAGCACAGACTTCTCTGCTGTTCTGCCAGCCTTTTCTCTTGCCAGATCTCAAAATGTTGAGGATCCTTCAGCCTCACGTGCAAGTCTTATCATCCATTCATCATTGAACAGATCTATGTCAGTTGTTCTAAATACTACTTAGACCTTATGGTCTGCTATTTAGAGGACAGGCTTGTTGCCCACAAGGGAAGTAGGTGTTTATAAGCAAAAATCCCTGGATTTGGGGAAAGAAACAAGGCCCAGGGGTAGCCAATGACATGAGGGATGTCTTTTTTCTAAAATTTAGATCTGACTAAAGATATAAATTGATGAGTCAACATGAAGGTCACTCAGAAAGGAAAAGGTAGGCTCATGATTGAGTTTCCTGTGTATCTTAGTAGTACATCAAGTCAGGTAGGGGAAGAGGACCAGAGACGGTAGATGCTGAGGAAATGCCAATGAGGGTCAAGAAAAATTTGAAGATGACATTTTGGAATCCAACAACAGATAATGATTAAAGAAGGAAAGTCTACCTGTATTTACTGCTTCTGAGCAGTCACATGAGCTCAGAGGCGGAGTGATGGTATATAGCTGGCAAGGGAGAACATTGGCGAGGAGATTCAAGACTAATGCTTATGATGCTTCTGTAGGGTCCCCATGGCCTGGGTATTGAGAGAAATCCTTAAGAGTCTACCAGGCCTGGCAAACTTTGGCTATCATTTTCCTCGCTAGCCTCAGTCTTTTTCAGTGTCTGCCTTTCTTTACACCAGCTACACATGGTGTCTCATTCCATCCCTTGGACACTCCTCTTCGAAATACATTGTTATTTCTGTTTGCATTTCTCTTCATGCCATTTAATGACTGTCGCTTTTGCAGGTCTGGCTTCAGTGTTTTTCATTCCAGGCAAACCTGTTCACCTCAGACCTTGACTGCTACCCTATTCTATCCTTGAATCAGAATACGAAGTACTTCCCATCTGCTAAACTTGTCCATGATGGTTATATCCATGATGATACTGCCCATTAAGGTATAGATAGGGCATGGAGAATATTTGTTTTTGCTCACCGGGTTTTCCTCGTGTCAGGAAAAAAAGTAACTGTGTTATATAAGGAGCTTACTCTGTGTTTATTGAAGGAAGGAAAGGAAGGAAAAGAGGAGAAGGAGGGAAGATTTAACATCTGCTTCTATAGTTAACTTCATGTAATCTGCTTGTCTTTATATAACCTTTATGTAACTTAAAAATGTACACAATGTAAGGCAGTCAAGTATAATTATTTTGAACTTTTCTCAATCTAACTTTAATATTGTTTTAGATACATGCTGTTTTTAAAGACTCAAAATTATCATTATATTTCCTATACATAAAATCTCTTGTTATATCCTGGCTTTTTCCTAGCCTGTGTTTTTACAAAATATCCGCTCATGAAATGTGACCAAAATATGTGGTGATGTTTGGACAAAAAATTTCATTACCGTAAAGGATGTAGTATTAATACCCCTCCGAATAATCTTCCTTACTTGGAAAGCACTTATCCCATTGTTCTTGGCACTTTCCGAAGCAGTTCTGGAAGTCCTCCCTCATATCTTTGTGAGATGTGATAAAAAAAAAATTTAGCGAATGCTATGCCGCGGAGCGCCATCCAATGGAAGGCAGGCTTGTAAAAGCAGTCGGTGTGTCCTTATCCACCTCATTCGACAGTTTTGGCATAGTGTAACTTTGAACCTTCCGCAAATTCAAAATGACTGTAAAAGGTAACCATTTTAAATCAATTCAGGACGTTGAGTCAGCCACAACAACACAGCCAAAGACACAAAAAAGAGCGCCAGGGATTTAGCCCAGTGGCACTGAGCCTGCCTCGCAAGCACAAGGTCCTGAGTTCTATCCCTGGTAGTTGGGGGGGGTACAAAAGGCACAAAAGAGGACTCAAGAACTGCTTCAGAAAGTGTCATGAACGCTAGGACAAATGTGTTCAGTTAGGGGCAGTGTTCTGAGGGAAATTAATGTCAATATATTTTTATATAATACATTTAAAAAACTTTAAACATTTGTCATATTTTTCAATCACACTGTATATCAGCAGGTTGCTTGTGCTTTCTATTGGAATTAGTAATAGTGGATCCCTTAAGTATGTTACAAATACTCCTATTTTCTTTTCTTCCTGCTACTGGAGATTGAACACAGAACCTTGAGCTCTACTACTGAACTATGTCTCCAGCCATTTTTACTTTGTCTTCAGACAAGGCCATGCCAAATTACCCACTCTGGACCAATACCCCTATTTCCTATTAGAGTTTTCCACTTTAGCATGCCCAGGGGAACGCATGGCAGGCCCATAAAGTAAAGGCATAGTAAAGGAATTTTCCTACCATGGTACACACCTATAATCTCAGTACTTTGGAAGGCTGAGGAATGAAGATCACAAATTTGAGCCCTGCCTTGGTAACTTAATGACTTAGCAAGACCTGTTCAAGATAAAAATAGATGATCACAGGATATAACTCTGTGAAAAGGCCCTGGGTTTAATCCCCAGTCAGCCTAATCAGAGAGACAGATCAGAGAGAGAGAGAGAGAGAGAGAGAGAGAGAGAGATGAATTTCCCACGATGCTCTAGTCTGGGTCCCAGGGATATCAAAGCTTTGGATTGTATTCTCTCCATCTGCAACCCTCACAATTCATCCACTGCAGTCTTCACACATCAAGATCTGTTTTTGTATGTCTTTGTAATTTACAGCATGGCTTTTGCTACATAAAATTGTATTTTTCCTGTGGGCAGTAAATTAAATTTTAACAAATTAAGACAGACATACAATAACTGATTTGTTGCTAATTAATCTCTCTACTTACCTGCTTGAAATGGAATAGAATTACTGAGCTTCTTGCAATTTTTTTTAAAGCCACAACTTGCAAAGCCCTTTTCCAATGTGTTTTTAGGGCTGCTAAACCCACATTTTTATAGAGTGTATTTTACACACCTTTTTCCCTTCTGAAAGATTCCATGTCATGCACTTTCCTCCTGGCCTCTAGTTTTGTCAAATATCCCATCATAATAGCAGGCAAGCAAAACACAGCATTTATTAAATACATTCAAAGACAATTCCTGAAGAGTTTTACATTGTCCATTCACTTCAAAAATAGGCTGAAGAGGTTACTACTCAAATCCACACGCTCTGACACCCATTCTTCATTAGGTTACTTACATGAAAATCAGTGTTCCCCTTCACAGCTATCTTATTTGACAAATTCTTTGAAATGGATCATTTTTACTGACTTAATAGTCTGTCTTTTAGAGATAGCAATTATAGAAATACATAAAACAGATTAGGGGAAGAGATGAGAAGAAAGAATAGTAAGGGAATTAAAGAAGATAAGATGGAATTTGGAGAATCGGGTTCAGATCATAGCTTGTGTGTTTCCTATCATCTGTGAGACCTGAGAAAAACCACCTAACCTTTCTCTGAACAACATAGGTAAAATGGAGAATAATAACTTTGTGTTCAAGAGCAGTATACAAATCGCACAATGTATGTATAGTGTCAGGCACTACTGTTGGACACGCTGAATGCCAGCAATGACAATAAAAATCAAAATAAAAAAGAAATCATAAATAAAATCTTGTTAAAATGTTATTCCCCAGAGCTTAAGCTTTGACAGTCTTTCTCTTTGAACAAAGGCAGATGTAAATTTGACTGTAGTTCCTACCAGTCAAAGTAAGAGTAAAACAAAAAAGTTTGTTAAGTATTAAACAAAATTTATTTAGATAATTACAAAAACCCTGTAATAATTCCTAACATGGAAAGGCAGAATTACTTCATGGGCTTTGTCTGCCTAAGAAGTCCCCAAGCATTATTTATAGTTCAAATAAGTTGTACATGTGTGTACTTTTGTTAGTACATATAAATATTGTGATAATGATGTCAATTAATTTCATTGTAATGCTGAATTCATAGTAACTTTTTAACCAGAAAGCACTTTCCTAATTGATGGACTTAGTAAGAACACCATTAGAACCCAGAGAGTATTGTATATTAATTTCTGATTTATCCAAAAGGTTGGGAAAGTATTGTGACAGAGAAAAAAGGCTAACTTTTGTAACAGACAACAGTCTCTTTTCCTTACTCCTCCTCAGTAGCATGGAGGATGATGTCCTGTGTCACAGAAATTAGATGTCCACTAATTTTTGGAAACAAGAATTGCTTTGGTTGAAGTAATATTCTGACTACTCCTAGTCTCACAAGGATGTCTGCAAAAGATTCAGGGGAAACTGTTAAGCCCTCCGAGGTGCTTTGCATAGGAAATGAGTTTAACTTCTGAAGCTGTCTATTACAGAGCTTCAAACACTCTTCTCCTCAATGATTCCTGTAGCCCAAAAATAACTAGATTGGAAGTTTATTCCTTCACTTGGTCACTTTAATAAATCTAATTCAGATTTCCACTAGTGCAGTTACTATATCATCTTGCCAATCCCCCTTTTGTTATACCTGTGCTGAATCTGTTTTATCATTTCCTAGGTAAGAAGATTCTTGATTATTTTAAGGGATAATGTAGTTTAAAGCACATAATGGATACTGTAAAGAAATATTATTTGGCTAGCTTAAAAATATCTCCTTAAGGGAAAAAAATCTTTTAAAAGACCTACAAACTTGGTATGATTACTTGAATTAAGGAAGTAAGATACGATTGAAGTAAATTTAAACTTTTTTTTTTTAACTTCCTGCAAAGAGGCTCCTTCACAGTACTTTTGGAGAAGTTAGTAAAACCGAATCTGACATCATCACAAAGCAGTTCATGTAGCTAGCAAGTGGTTTGTTCTTAGGGTGACAAAGGAGGAAATCGCTCCCCTTCTGGTAAGACAACAGGGAAGAACATGAATTCATCTATTTTATTTTTGATTCAGTTTTGCAGAGAAAAACTTTCAGAGAGATAACCAGTATGTTGCCTTTTAGGAGGACGCATGCTGTTTCTTGGGGATTCTGCTGATCACCAGATATGAGCATGTATTTGTGGCTTAAACTTCTGGCATTTGGCTTTGCCGTCCTGGATACAGATATATTTGTTACAGGTAAGAACAATCATATTAATTTTTACTTAATTTTTTCCCTTTTGGAGTGACATTGGTTTGAAGTAGATATTAGGAATGTGTTGTGTGCTGGTGACTGGAGGTGATACGGGCTTCAGTACAATGGTCAGTGTTGCCGGCTGGGGAGACACAGCTCATTGTGTGACAGAATACTGTGTTTCTGTTTAAAAATGCGTTGAAAGAAAAAAAAATCACAATTTAAAAGAAAAACATTGTCTGTATCTTTATTTACAGACTATTCAAGGATGTCACAAATGCAACACTGTTACTTCACCCCCAAAGTGACAGGAAAGATGGCTAAGGAAAGTCTCGGAAATTGTTTAAGAGCAAAATGAAGGAGTTTTTATGCTTTTAACAACCAGAACAATAAAAGTCCTGCTTAAAAATCACGAGATGGCCTAGGTTGTATGTAAGGCCCTCCCTCTTTGAACCAGGAGTTAGTTTCTTCAAATTTTTGATTACTATTAAAATATTTTACTAAACGATTAGGCGTAGAATAGTTAAAATATGCTTAAGTATTTAATAAAATACTAACTTTCTGCCTATTCTTATCAAAGAAAGTATTTTCTTCAGGTTTTAGTTCTCCTATAGTTTTAGTGAATTTTTGGTATGGAAATTCTGATGTGGCCACCGCCCTTCCTGGGTGATGGGTAGATATTACAGATGGGACCGGGGATTTAGCTCAGTGGTTCTGCTGCCTGCCTCCTAAGTGCTAGGACCCGAGTTCAATCCCTGGTACAAAAAAAAAAAAAAAAAGAAAAAAGAAAGAAGAAAAGAAAAAAATTACAAACAGAAATATTTAAATTCTTAAGACTTAAAAAAAAAAAAAAAAAAAAGAAAAAAGAAAGAAGAAAAGAAAAAAATTACAAACAGAAATATTTAAATTCTTAAGACTCATGCAAATGCTATGTTCTACAAGAAAATGTAATAAATTGAGGATCTCCTCTCTCTTAAATTTGAGATCTGTACATCCTTATGGTATATTTATTAGATGTTTCTTGAATACTTTCAGTTTGGGTCATAAATATATTTTGGTTGATTATTAAATATAACTAAGAAGTAGTTAATATTTTCTTATGATGGTGAAACAAAAAACCTATGTTTTAATTATTAAAAGGACATTGAAAATGGAATCTCTGCTGGCATTCCCAAATTAAAAAAAAAAAAAAATCTCTGAAAGGCAAGGCAGTAGTTACCTCCTCTGAGAATGTTACACTGTCAGGTTATATTTGGGTAAATATATGAGAGTAGAAAGAAAAACACTAGAAGTTAAAGATTTTGGTCATGGTGGGTTGGTTTTGTTTTTCACTGTCAAGGTGGATTTTAAAAAGTCTATATAGGAAAAAAAAGTCTATATAGGTACAGAATTTTTTATAATGCTAAAATTTTTCATCAAATTGCTATCCCTGTGTTTTTATCAAAATTAAAGGCAAATTATAAATAATAATTTTAATAAGGTGATAATATGTGTATTATCAATAATCAGAGAAAATTTCCATTAAAAATTATTTCTTGGGTAATGTATTTTAAAATGAACATAAATAAATATTAAAATGTGTGTAAGCAACAGAGACTATCATTATAAAGTTTTCATATCATCTATTAATTTTGTTTGTTTGCTTATTTATTTGTTTTTGGTTTTTTGAAACAGGGCCTCTCGCTTTGTAGTTTAGGTTGGCTCTGTATTAAATGTTTTTACCATATGGAAAATCTGTAAATTCATGATCAAAATAGGAGTATAGTAGGATCTAAAAACCTTTAAATCAATATTGCTGAATAACATATCCTATAAATAAGTGGATAGGTTAGATTTATTTTAAAAATACTTTACCTCAATTGTTTACATTAACATCAATAACATATTTCTAAAAGGATAATAATAGTATTCTTGAATATATGCTTATGTTGTGAAAAATATATACACTAATATAATCATTTGTATCTACAAATGTTGTTAAGCATACTTTTAATTACCAAAAGACATTTTGTGATGTGATGCTTAATTTGGAAAGTTGTAAGTCTTTAAAATTATACGTTTTTAATACATGAATTAAATCCTGTGTCTTGTATTTACATGTTAAAATGAATTTAGTACCTTCAAGAAATAAACTTTAGAGGAGTAAATTTGTTGTATGCTTTAAAGGGAAAAAGAAATAGAGGTACTTGTAAAAGAGGTATCCTTGGGTGAATATGCACACAACTCAGTTATTTTATTTAATCTCTAAAATTCAGGTCTGGACAAGGCCAAAGTTAAGCTTTTACTAGAGCAGTCACAATCATGGACTTAGTTTTACACAAAAGTTCCCTGTCTCCTTGCATTGCTTGTCCTAGCTATGCCCAATGGAAACTAAAATTTTCTCTAAAGTTTCTAAGTAATCCGAAGGAGCAACAGTGTTTTCCAGAGTGAAGGTAGGGGATAAGCATTTTCTGGCTGTTTTTAGAGATGAATACCAGCCAAATCTCCCACTTCATAGGATACCAGTTAAGAGCATTTTTAATTTTATTCCATTTGAAGTATGCTATGAGTTATGGTATGAGTCATAACAGTTAAGACTCACTTCCTGGACATAATTCTTCATTTTTCCATCTACATTTTAAAAAAATTCTTGTTACAACGTGTACCATACCTTACACTTCATAGAGATTCAGTGCAAAGCACTACTGAATTTGATAAGCAGTCTTATTAATTGCTACATACAATTTAAAAGATTCTTTGATGTGATTATGATTACTTACTGATTTTTAAAAAGTATTTTCCTATTAAAAACTTTTCTGTGACCTTTATTGAGGCTAGAGTTGGAAATTGATTTAGTTAGGGGAAAGATAAGGCAGAGACAGGGGTCTGTATTTCTTTTTCCTTTCTAGCTCGATATAATTAAGCAGAAGGACAGAGGAGTTCACTTGAGCTAGGTACTTTCTGTATTCTATTTGATGGCTTTTCATTAATGACAAACAGTGAGTGGAGGAATACAGATATTTTTACATTGTTCATGTACATACCTATATATAGGTGTACAAATAAATAAACTTTATGTGACTGAGTTATATGTGTTCATTATTACTTTCCTGTGTATCTGGTATCATTTACTTCTCTGCTGGTTCTCCAAATTTATCTGCCCTTTAAATATTGGGGTTCCAGGAATGTCTATCCTTGGCCAGGTTTATTCATTTGTTTTTAAGGTCTAAGTCAGAGATGGCGAACCTTTCAGAGCTTTCAGTGATACAAACAGCCCAGGGTGGCACGCGTGCCATAGGTTTTCTGCCACTGGTCTAGGTTGGTTAGCCTTACCTGCCCTTGCTGAGGCTCTGAATTCTTCATCTCCAGATTAATCCCTCAGAAATGCGAAATCTATCTCTACAGCTAAACGCAAATATTTCCATGCATCTCAATTCCTGAAATTTTGTTCTTTGTAAATTTTTTTTTTTTGTGGTACTGACCATTGAACCCAGGGGTGCTTTACCACCGAGCTACATCCATTGAAATTTTTATTACTTTGAGACAGGCCAAGTGATCCTCCTCCTTTACCGTCCTCAGTAGCTAAAATTATAAGCATGTGCCATTGCATCCAGCCATACAATTTAGCTTTTTAAATTTTTTAAAAATTAATTTTATTAATCCATTTTTGACGTACATTATGATCACATTTGCCATAGAGAATTTGTACCTCTGCATAATATATCTTAATTACTTTTTTCCATTTCACTCTCTTTCTTTGAATCCTTCCTTTTCCTCATTTTCAAAACTTTGTTTCTATTGCTTTCCTTTCATTCTTTTTTATCCCTATTCTATTTTTTTGTTTCTTTTCCCATCTCCCCTCCCTGTTCCCCTTCTGATTTGAACATTTTCTTCCTACTTCTAAATATCTTCATTTTCCATCTACATTTAATTCTTCATTTTTCCATCTACATATAAAAAAAATTCTTGTTACAACGTGTACCATACCTTACACTTCATAGAGATTCAGTGCAAAGCACTAATGAATTTGATAAGCAGCCCTATTAATTGCTACATACAATTTAAAAGATTTTTTGATGTGACTTTGATTACGTACTGATTTTTTAAAAGTATTTTCCTATTAAAAACTTTTCTGTGACCTTTATCAAGGTCCTTACTTACCCTTTGAGTTTCTCACACAAGAGACACAATGCAATATTTAAATATGTGTGTCTGATTTATTTCACTTAAAATTATGTTCTCAAGGTGCATCATTTACATAAAAATGTCTCATTTATCCTTCTTTATGACAGAGTAGTACTCCACTGCATATAAAAGTCACATTTAATAGTCTCTAAAAACGTTTCCCACTTCTTCATCTCCATTGCTATGACCACAATTCATGGCTGTATTTTATTTCACCTGTGATATTGGGTTAGTTTTCTCATTAATCTGAAGTCATCGTTTCCTTAAGCACAGAAAGTTAAAAGTAGGGAACCTCTGACATTTTCTCATAAATTTTAGCCTTCTTGCCAGAGATACTGGACCCACTAACTAGTGGAGAGCTGGGCCTGGAGCTGAGCAGGAATCTTTCGTTTTCTTTTATGACTAAAGAACAAGCAGGGGTGGTTTCATATCCAGTTCCTCCATACTTCTTCAAGGTCCTGAAGGCTGTGTGTAAATCCTATCTCCTCTCTGAGGTTGTTTTGTTGTCATTGTTGCCCCAAATATCTCCACTGAAGTTGGATACTTTTTACCAACTTTCTTTGGCATTTTTCAAGTGCTGTTTCAGAAGTTTTGATTGTGATGCATGGCAAGGAGGATGAAATGGAAGTTAGTGGATTTGCTGCCATTGTAAGCTACGTAAAAGGAAAAACTATGTGCTGCGTCCTTTATACGTTCTGTACCTGATTTCTTACCAGGCATTGAATAATAATGGGCTTTCGATAAAATAAAGAAGTAGAAGGAGAAAATATGAGGGGGAGAGAGGGACAGAAACGGAGACAGAGAGAAGGTGATAGAGGGAGAGGTCAGAAAGAGAGACTAT